GTCACCGGCGGCGAGTCTCTGACGAGCTTCCAACGAAGCTCCGGTGACCCCTCTCTGGTAAGTTTTCCTACCGTTTTTGATCGTCCTCGCCTGCACCTCACTTCCTCCTACGTCCTAATTGCGTCTCCAGGTTTGTTTTTCAACTTTACCTTAGTGATTTGTGGAGAATCTAGATTAGGGGCGAGGAATTAGGTGAATTAGGTAGATTGAATGATGAATTGATTTTTGCTTGAGCTTAGTGAGCCTTGGTGTGAGCGTTTGAATCGAATTGTGTTTATTTTTAGAATTTTCCCACCAAGTGCTATGTAATGAATGCAAGTGGAGTTTATTCCGGTTTGGTGGATGGTAGACCTTGGTTTGGGTTGTGGTCCAACTTTTTGTGTGCTTGAACCGTGAATTTCCCACAACCATGCTATGGTAAGCTTGAGCTTAAATGTTTTATCCAAGGTTGAAAGAAAAGTGTGGGGGGAATTTCATTTCCTCCCTATGAGCATTATTTGACAAATATTTACACGTATGGTGTGTGTTTGTCAATTTGTGCAGGATGCTTAACTTGGAGCATGAGTTCATCAGTTACCTGGTGAACCACCCAGACTTTGGCGACATGTTCGTCTACCAGACCGACAGCCCGATTGGGCCTCACTGGCGGCTGGACCTGGACATGTTCAACTTGTTCAGGTGCCGAGCTGTGATGACTGGGTGCTCTGCCATCCCCAGTGGCGCCAGCTCTTGACCATGGACGAGGAGATCTACCACGAGCTGTGCGTGGATTTCTACTCCACCTTCTCACACATCGTCACGGCCAGCAAGAAGAGCTGGCCATGGGAGTTTCTGCTGGGAGGTCAGCCACGAGTGTTGACCTATGATGGCTTTGCTCAGGCCATGGGGCTCGACACCGCCCACATGACGATGACGGAGCGGTAGTACACCGTCGACTTTAACTATCAGGGAACATTCCGAGCCCTCTGCCGCCCAGAGCACGAGCAGGACCAGTTCGAGGGGAGTTGCACCAATGTGATAAAGCTGAAGACCCAATGGAGGATCCTCCACACTCTGCTCACCAGATTCGTCGCCCTTAGCCTCCAGTCCGACCATCTGATGACGCACAGAGGGCTCATTGCCCTCTACTCCATGAGTAGGAGCCGATCCATTTGGGATCTCTGACCGCCACTTCCTTCGCCCAGTGTCTGGGGAGGAACAGAGTGGACACCATGCATATGGGGGGCCTCATTACGAGGATAGCCTGACACTTCCAGGTGGATCTGGCTCGGTGCACCAACGCATGGAGGATGGAACCTTTCCTAGTGGAGACACTTTACAACCATAAGCTAGTACTCCAGGGAGCGCGAGGAGTGGAGTACCTCGAGGTACTCCGACCTTCCGGAGTCATCCGAGCTACAGTAACACCGAATCCAGTAGAGTCTGACCTTGAGGTTCAGAGTCAGCAGAGCAGCCACCTGCTTGAGCACCAGGCCACTTCCGGCGTCCAGCGCTCCAGCGCCCTGCACAGCAAACACCACCAAGCAATCCCCTCGTCTAGAGGGTGGATCGCCTAGAGAAAAACTTCATGGGATTCTCATTCCGCCTCGACCGACAGACCGACATCCTCGAGCTGATGGCTCGACGCTAGGGTATCCTCCCAGATGCTGGAGACTAGAGAGGGTCCTTCCACCTGAGAGAGGTAGCCGACGAGTGAGACATGTGGCAGAGTGGAGTCCTTTTGCCCCACTTCTCCATTTGTAACCCTGAACATGTTTTTTATTGTTATTTTTCTTCATTTTGTGCGTGTGTGACATAAACTACTACTATCGTATTGTGTTTGTAATAACCTCCCCTCGAGTGAGTCATATTGTGTTTGTGTGTGTGTTTTTTGTCTCTCCTTGAAGCTCAAATTATCCTATCCCGGTTCGATTCCAACCTTCACTCACCAAGCCCAAGCGGTAACATCATTCTACCCCTTTCTTACGCCATTGAGGGCAATGCCGAGTTTAAGTGTGGGGGTGGGGGGTAGTTTACTAGTATGCTTGTGTGAGTGTGATTGATGCTTAGAGCCTTTTGTATGCCCAAATTTCAAAATTTGAGGGCTCCAAACAATGTTTGCATGATCAAAGTGGCCGGTGTGTGGGAAATTCTCGTGTTTATTGGCATTGATCTTGAATTGTTGCATGTGATCGAGTATATCCTATGATGATGACTGAGAAGTTTATTAGGATAGGGAAAAAGTTTAGTTCTCAGGTGTGCATAAATGAATGGATGTCTTGACTTGATCACTTGTTGCTTACAATTGTCATGCATCGTGTTTGTGAATTAGAATAGATGGTTGGGTAATTAGGTAGCCTGTGAGTTTTGAGACGATCGTTTTCCTCTGGTGTGATAGTTCCCTCTTACCACGGTGTCTAGCATCACAGTTGTCGCTAGTAAGTATGATGGAGGCATAGGATGGGTCCACGCCCAAATGTTGATTGTCCCAAAATGTGTCATCCTTTAGTCAACCCCTTTGAGCCTTGTGACTTTGAGGGTCATTCTCAATTTAGGAGCTTCGTGCTTGTGAGCTTAATGGTGTTAATCGAACGAACCCCAATCCTTTCTTTGTTTCTAAACATGTGTCGTCCTTGTGTCTCGTAGCTCTCACTTTTGAGTTCCATAGAGGTTCTACATAGGAGGATGGTGTGCGGTTCTTGCTAGGAATGAAAAATGAAGTGTAGTGTTGGAGTGAGTTCTTCAAAAAGAGAGCATTCGTCGTCAAATGTATATGTGGGAAGGTTTTACTCTCTAGTACCCCCCTAAAAAAGAAAAAAGAAAAGAAAGAAAAGAAAAGAGAAACGAAAAAGAGGTAATAAAATGGGGTAAATAAAGTCGAGAGTGCCACAAAAAACCAAAGTGTATGCTCTAGAAAGGGGTTTCTTAGCACCCAAGCCATCGAAACCCCCCACATTCTGTTAGAACTCCTTCACTACTAAACATTAATGTGCTAGCAAGAGTAGACCAAGGAATATGGCTTTAATGTACTTCAGGATAGGTGATACTTTGGACGGGAGAGATAAGGTTTTCGGCCGATGCTAGTGGCCTTTGGTTGAAGAGAAGGGTTTTAGTCGAAACCATAGAACTGTCGGGTTTAGGTTGAAGATGTAGAACCTCATGTCATGATTGCCACCACCCAAAAAGCCTTTCCCCCATGTCCAAGACAATCGCCAATCATCTGAACCCGTGTCTAAGACCTCCGGACAAGCTAATGATGACAACCATTCCGTGAACTCTAGCATTTAGAGGTTGCCACCGTGGTATTGAGACAATAGGGCCGAGAGGTTATGATTGTGCACATCTTTTGCACCAAAAAGGTCCCGACCCCACTAGTCTTGAGAGTGAGTGATTCATTCTTGTTTTACTTGCCATATCATATCCCGATGAGGACCTTTGTTGCCTTTCCATTTGTTCCTCGGACTTGAATCTCATGTATGGTTGGTTTTGGTTGATAAGTGGTCTAGTTGAGACTTGCATTGATACATGAACATGGTGAGAACTTTTCGTTTGCCCGTTTTTTGTGGCTGCGAATGTCGTTTGTGGTGAATGTCGGTATTGCTTGCAACGGTCCATGTGTTGAGTGCCAATAACCATTGAGAATTCCCGCTTCGTGCCATTTGAGTTGTCCCCAAAGTATTTGTGTAGGTTGAATATTACCTTGTGTGAAATGGTTTGCTTGGGGACAAGCAAATGTCTAAGTGTGGGGGAGTTATAAGGGCCTAATTGTACATGTTTTACCCCCGTTTTACTTAGGTGTTTGTGGCAAATTCGCTCCTAAAAGGTTAGTTTTACGCTAGGTTTCTCGTGTTTTAGCATGTTTCAGGATTCAACATATGAAACCAGCCTCGCAGTCGAAAGTTGACGAAAAGGATCGAAAACCGGGAGAAGAGGTGAAAATGGCCAATTCATGGCTTTCCCAGGAAGTTCACGGTCATGCAAGACCGTGAAGAAGAGCCATAGACAATGAAACTCAAGGCGGCCAGAGCATTCCCAGAGGTTACTGACGCAAGGTGAGTTCACGGTCATTAAGACCGTGAACAGAGGCTGTTGACCATGAACAGAAGTGAACGAAGCGGTGCGTTTTGGCGCACGCCTGCAGTTCATGGACTCGTTTCATGGTTCGCGACCGTGAACTCAGGCCGTGAACTGAGCTCATCTCTGGTTTAAAAGATGAGCTTAAAGGAGGAGAGAGGGATAGCCCATTTGTGTGAGAAGCCTTCTTAAGATTTCTAGAGAGAGAAACACGAACCAAAGGAGAAGAAGGCTAGGGTTTTGCTTCAAGGTGGATTTTGGGAAGATTTCCTCCAAGGAAAGTTCAACACAAGGGCCAAGAAGATTAGGAGCATCCTCCAAGATGGTTTCCACCTCTTCTCCTTGTGTTTTTCCCATTTCTAGCATGGAGTATATTTCCTTTCACTTGGGTGTTGTGAAACCCTAACTCTACCATGTAGTTTTGTTTTATGTGAATTGGATGATTGTCATTGGGTATTGCTTGATTCAATGATTGAGGTATTATTCATCTTGATTGTGCATGTCTATGCTTAGGAATCTAACTAGCCACTTAACCTAGACTAGAGACGGAAACCCCCATGTAACACCCCGAATTTTGGGTTTAGGTGCGACCAGAATACGTGAACGGTTATGTACGAAGGATTACAATCGCGGGCTAGGAATAATAATAATAACATAATAATAATAATAATAATTATTATTATTATTATTATAAAAAAAACCTTAAAGTATGGGACGGGAGGGCCGAGCGGCCACAATCCCAAAAACCATAGAAAGTGGCGGTTCACATGGGAAAACGAAACTCCGACTACTTCCTCGATGCCGCAGAAGTCTTACGCGTCTTCTCCACCAACCCCAACTCTGCTTCGTCGGTTTCTGTATCCATACCCTTCTATTTCGCTTCTCCTCTCCCGTTTCAGAACTTGCAGAGCCAGGCAATAACCGAAAACACATCTCTCTTTGCTCAAATGGATTACATGGACGGAAGAAGTTCCCACGGATCAAACGTTACTGTTGATAATGGCTCTAGAGAATCGGACACGTTACTATTGCTCAAATGGGGAAGGGTTTTGCGAAGAGTCTGTCTTCGATTGGCGGCACGAATAAGGGGAAGGCAAAACAAATGGGTACAGATCGGATCTTGGGTGCGCAGCGAGGCTGTAAGAGGCTGATCTGAGTGATTTTATCTCAAAGAAAAAGCGGAAGCAATATAGGTTGCAAAGAGGATTGGAAGTCAGTACCGCAAAGAAGGTCGAATTATACATCAGGAAAGCAAATATGGGTTTATTATTGGAGAAAGGCTCAAGATTTTCAGTGGGTTCTGTCAAAGTATCAGCTTACTGGTTAACTCCCAGGAGAATAGAAAAAACAAACGAGATACCTTGGACAACTTGGAAGGCAAGTAGATTCCAACTCAATTGATCTGTCAATGGCCCTCCAAAACAACGATCATGCCTCATTTCGGTCATTTTCCAGGGCTCGTAAGCACCGATGCCGGTTTGGGTTAAGAGCTCGTGTAATTGTATGTGCCAAAGGAAAGTGGCCAATGCCGTGGAGAGATGATAAAAAAAACAGAGCAAATGCAGAGATGGGAATGAGGGGAAACGACGAGGGTGAAGCTATGATTAGGGGTGGACCCTGGTGGAACGTTTTGCATGGCATTAGGACACGTCGCCCTTGTGATGGTGGGGTTGTTTCCGAGCAGTCATGTGATGATCAAGTGAAGGAAAATCGATTGCTGTAGTTGATTCAATTCAATCTGCTTCGACATAAGGTGAGTGTAAAGGGGGTAAATTCTACGCCTTACAATTTTCAAGTAATTGCCTTTAGTATTTTCGAGTATTGCTTTACATGATGTATGTGCAGTATGTGACTCATGTTTGAGATTGCATGATTATGGTTGATGATATGTGCCTTGTTTGAATTATGACTTGAAGTGAATGGTTATTACTTACTTTGAAATTTTACGAGTATAAGTTGTTGAAGTTTAAGAAACAAGTTCTTTTTAAGAAGTAACTCACATTCAAGAAGGTGAAGTCGTTTTAAGTGTTTTTAGTCACTAGCGCCAGTCCGTTGCCATTTGAGATTTTCAGATAGAGCAGCAGTTATGCTCTTGAGATCTTTGAGACAGAGCAGCAGTTATGCTCTTTAGACTTTTAAGATGGGCAGCAGTTATGCCCTTGAGAATCGTGGTGAAGAGCCACCACGATAAGTTTAAGATGTTAGGGGGATGAATCGTTACGACTTCCCTAACTAAGTTTAAGTTTAAGGAAAGCCTTGATGGCTTCTCATACGTATGAGTTGGCAACCAGACTAGCTAGTGGGGGATCCCAGTGTCGGTCAAGTATTTAAGTCGAGATTTGAGTTTTAAGAGAGGAGAGTAACTTCAACTCCCTCAAAGCTTGAGAGTTAAGATTTTAAGATTGGAAGTACAAACAACTTCCACTAGTCAAAGTTAAGTGTTTAAGTAAAGTACTCAAGTATTAGAGGTATTAAAACGTAAGGGCGTAGACTTACCCCAACTCACTCACCAGTTTGAAGAGGAAGAAGCTAGAGGAGCAGTTAGAGAGCAGCGGGATCGAGAGAAACAGTTCGAGTGAAGCTAGCTAGAGGAGGACGGTACGAGCGTCATAGAGGATGTCTAGCCAGAGTTTTTCACACAAGCCGCAACACCTGAGACTAGTTAGTTATTATGTTTTATGATTATGAGTATAGACTGGAGATCAAGTTGAGTTTTTAATGTTTGAGTTTAATTTGCCCACATGTTAGGGCTTTGCTTTGAACTACAAGTGTGTGTTTTCAGTATTTTATTTATTAAAAATTTCCCAGTTGCAATTTAAGATTTGAGTATTTTATTTATCAAGGGCATTTTAGTAAAAGTAGTACCCGGCCGGGTTAGGGTGTTTCATTTTGGTATCAGAGCTAGTCTTCCTCTGTTCCTTGGTCTCCAAGGAATACTGGAATATCGGTCTCAGTTTTTAAAGGTTTTGTTTTAAAGGAAAGGAAAACGAGTCAAGTGTCTTCTTTTAAGAGTCTCTAGAATCTCCAGTCTACTCTAATCGTATTAAGGTAAATAACTAGAGTTCTAATAGAAGAGGTTCGAATCGTAAGGGGATACCTCTAGGATTTTGAAGGAGTTGAAGGAGTAGTACGAGGATTCTACTACTAGGTAGCAAGGAGAGCATCTAATAAGCAAAAGCAAACAAATAGGAGGACTATGAATCTCCGAAGAAAGATCTGCAATCACTAGATGGCAGTAGCTATAATGATTAGAGGATTTCAGGGTTCTTGACCCTAAGTAGTGGCGAGGAGGCACCAAGTCAAGAAAAGAAGAGGTACCACCAGAAGTCCCTCAACTAGTTTTAGTGGTCAACGCTATTACAACATAGTGACAAGAAGCAGTGAAAACCTTAGACTTCAAGAGAAGCTAGGGTAGTGTAAATGAAGTAAATGAGGAAGTAAGTAGGTTAGAGGGGGTCTGAAAGGATGTCAAGAAGTCAATAGATTAAGGAGGAGGGGAGGCATGGTCATTTACATATGACGGTGAAGGAACCCTTGTAGATAAACTACGTCATCCAGAAGAGGGTACATGCCCTGGGCAATTAGGCCGGTAGCAAGCCTTTATAAGGAACAAGACAAGAGTCAAGGTGATCGAGGTAGAGGACGAGCTTGGATCAAGAATAACAGTTAGCTAGTAGATGGCAGTACAAATAGAGAACCACTACTCAGAAGTGCGTGAGTTGGATACCAAGATAACACCGAGGTAGAAGGAGGATAGTAGAGACCCTACAAACTACCCAGGTCATGAAAGGTCGGGAGGTCGTTGGGACCGTTGAAAGGGGAATGCAAGAGTTCACGATGATCTGTTATGGGATTGTCCTATCCTAAATGGAGGGAACACCTAGCCACCTAGGGTACATGAGGGGTGACAGAAGGAGGATCCTCTGTAATAAGTTGGAACTAGAGGGCTAGGAGCTGGAGTCTCGAAACCAAATGTAGGAGTAAGTCATTCAACTAGCCGAGTATAGGCAAGCAAGTAGAATGTCCATTAGAAGTTCTAATGAAAGTTGGAGAATTCGAGGAAGAGGCTAAATGGTCGTAATGAAGAGAGTTTGCGAACAATACCAAGGAAGAGCAAAAAGGCCAGAGGGAGTTTGACGAGATTTCAAGAAGTCAATGGGTCGAGTCTCAGGTGACTCGAGGTCAAGAAGCTGCACAAAGAGGTACGATGAGGGAAATCATTACCGAGAAGGAGGAAAAAGAGAAGTTACCTTATCCAAGGTGCCCCACTCTGAGTAGGCGCGACATAGTAGGAGGGCTCCAGAGGAGACAACTAGTTAAGGATGAAACAGGCACGCTTAGTTAAGCCACTAAGAATTCTGACAAAGAGAATAAGTGTAGGTACAAGATCGATCAACAAAAGAGGCATGGAATGAGTAATGTTAAAGGTTACCAAGGGCAAGCCACCATTGGAAGTTGTGACCAAAAACAACAATGAGAAGATACTCAACAGAGTTTGGTGACCGAAAATAGTACAAAGCATCAACAGAAGGGTACCGAAAATAGGCGCCAGGAGTGAACAAAGTGTGCAAAATGGAAGGTCATGCTTCCGGAAAGGAGTCATAAAGTTGTTAGCAAGCTAGACAAAGATGCAAATGATGCCTCTAATGCATACAGGAAGTAGAAACAGTAGTATGAGGTTCCAACACTAAGCAACAAGTAACGAGGACGTGACTAGGGGTAGGCATTAGGTTCGGTTTTACCGAACCGAACCGAATAAAAACCGACCGAATCCGAAATATTTGTTGTTAGGTTCGAAATTCGGCTGCAAATAGGAGACATTTCGGAAATCAGGTTCGTTTGAACTGAACCGAAATTCCGAAAAACCGACCGAAATTCCGAATAGCTGAACCCAGGCCCCAGCCGCTGGATTGGGCTGCCTGCTCCAATACTGAAGGCCTGCTCCGCCAGGCCCATCCCACTGCGTAGTACCCTAGTCCCGACCCCAGCCCTAGCCCAGCCACCGTCGTGTTCGTGAGTCGTCTTTGCTGCGAGGTGCGAGGCTGCTGACGAAATCGCGAGAGAAGGCAGCGCCGCACTGACTGACGAAATCGTGAGAAGGCAGCGCCGGCAAAGGGAACGTCCGATTCCGACCTCCGAGTTCCAACGCCTCTTCCACAGCTCCACTGCCCGAGCCCCGAGCACGGCGACGTCAACACCCCTCAACCTCACTGCTCGTGCTCGATCCTGCTCGCCCCCCTCTCGCAATCCACCGGCTGCCGAGTCTCCACTGCCCGAGCCCCGAGCACGGCGACGTCAACACTCAACAGGCACGGCTCGGTGCTCGACCTTCCTCAACCTCACTGCTCGTCGCTCGATTCTGCTCGCCCCCCTCTCGCAATCCACCGGCTGCCGAGCTCATGTCAAATTTTCACAAAAAAAAAAAACAGCAGGCAAAAAGGGGGCAACAGAGGTATTTCGGTTTGAGCATCCGAACCGAGTTGTAATTCGGTTCGGTCGAACCGAACCGAATTACAGCTCGGTTCGAATTCGGTCGGGGCTATGGAAAGTTCGGAAATTCGGGATAACCTTGTTCGGTTCGGTTTGAATCGAACCGACCGAACGCCCACCCCTAGACGTGACCATTCAGCTTATGGTTAAGGGATAAGACGAGGTATTGAGGAAGAAAGTAAGAGATACAGAGTTAGGAGATACAAGGACCTAGGTGACCCATGTGGTCAATCCGGATGAGATTTACGTTAAAGGAGTTTTACCATATGACTAGATGGAGGACAAGCCGCCATATGTAACCCTGGGGGTTCAAGAGGAGCATTAACGTCTCGTATACCGAATAATGGATAGTTAATGTTCCGACATATGTCCAAGGTGCAGCCTAGGTGATGTGAGGTGTTAAGAAGCCACAACAACATTGAAATTGCAGGAAGTGGGGAGAAAGATTTCTAGGTTAGGTCGTATAATTTAAGGGAAACAAAATCAGCGAAGTGAAAAGGATTACCACAAGCGATGCTTAGGGCAATCATAGTGGACAAATTTTGAGGGCGAAATTTCTATAAGTGGGGAGGAAATGTGATACTTTGACTCCGATTTAAGGGCCAACAACGAGTGCCGAAGGAGCTGGACCAACAAAGTGAATCGATAATTTTGTTCCATCACCAGATGAGGAAATTAAAAAAGGACAAGTAGCCACTCAAAGCTATTCGATGCTAATGAGCTTGTTGAGAATACCTTTTATGGTCAAGAGGAAATAACTTGAGGTGAGGGAAACTATACGGGGCAAGCAACGGACATCATCAAGGTTCATATAGAGAGAGTAAATTTTTGAGGCAAGGAAGTACAGGAATGGTGTTGACAGAGGATGAGTTCCGAACAAATTTCGGGGACGAAATTTTTTATAAGGGTGGAGGAAATGTAACACCCCGAATTTTGGGTTCAGGTTCGACCAGAACACGTGAACAGTTGGGTTAACGGTTACGTACGAAGGATTACAATCGCGGGCTAGGATTAATAATAATAATAATAATAACATTATTATTATTATTATTATTATTATTATTATTATTATTATTATTATTATAAAACAAACTTAAAGTATGGGACGGGAGGGCCGAGCGGCCACAATCCCAAAAACCCTAGAAAGTGGTGGTTCATATGGGAAGACGAAACTCCGACTACTTCCTCGATGCCGCAGAAGTCTTATGCGCCTTCTCCACCAACCCCAACTCTGCTTCGTTGGTTTCTATATCCATACCCTTCTATTTCGCTTCTCCTCTCCAGTTTCAGAACTTGTAGAGCCAGGCAATAACCAAAAACACCTCTCTCTTTGCTCAAATGGATTACATGGACGGAAGAAGTTCCCACGGATCAAACGTTACTGTTGATAATGCCTCTAGAGAATCAGACATGTTACTGTTGCTCAAATAGGGAAGGGTTTTGCGAAGAGTCTGTCTTCGATTGGCGGCAAGAATAAGGGGAAGGCAAAACAAATGGGTACAGATTGGATCTTGGGTGCGCAGCGAGGCTGAAAGAGGCTGATCTGAGTAATTTTATCTCGAAGAAAAAGCAGAAGCAATATAGGTTGCAAAGAGGATTGTAAGTCAGTACCGCAAAGAAGGTCGAATTATGCATCAGGAAAGCAAATATGGGTTTATTATTGGAGAAAGGCTCAAGATTTTCAGTGGGTTTTGTCAAAGTAAAAGCTTACTGGTTAAGTCCCAGGAGAATAGAAAAAGCAAACGAGATACCTTGGACAGCTTGGAAGGCAAGTAGATTCCAACTCAAATGATCCGTCAATGGCCCTCCAAAACAACGATCATGCCTCATTTCGGTCATTTTCCAGGGCTCGTAAGCACCGATGCCGGTTTGGGTTAGGAGCCCGTGTAATTGTATGCGCCAAAGGGAAGTGGCCAATGTCGTGGAGAGATGAGAAAAAAACAGAGCAAATGCAGAGATGGGAATGAGGGGAAACGACGACGGTGAAGCTATGATTAGGGGTGGACCCTGGTGGAGCGTTTTGCATGGCATTAGGACATGTCGCCCTTGTGATGGTGGGGTTGTTTCCGAGCAGTCATGTGATGATGAAGTGAAGGAAAATCGATTGCTGTAGTTGATTCAATTCAATCCGCTTCGATGTAAGGTGAGTGTAAAGGGGGTAAATTCTACGCCTTACGATTTTCAAGTAATTGCCTTGAGTATTTTCGAGTATTGCTTTACATGATGTATGTGCAGTATTTGACTCATGTTTGAGATTGCATGATTATGGTTGATGATATGTGCCTTGTTTGAATTATGACTTGAAGTGAATGGTTATTACTTACTTTGAAATTTTATGAGTATAAGTTGTTCAAGTTTAAGAACCAAGTTCTTTGTAAGAAGTAACTCACCTTCAAGAAGGTGAAGTCGTTTTAAGTATTTTTAGTCACTAGCGCCAGTCTGTTGCCATTTGAGATTTTCAGATAGAGCAGCAATTATGCTCTTGAGATCTTTGAGACAGAGCAACAGTTATGCTCTTGAGACTTTTAATATGGGCAGCAGTTATGCCCTTGAGAATCGTGGTGAAGAGCCACCACGATAAGTTTAAGATGTTAGGGGGATGAATCGTTACGACTTCCCTAACTAAGTTTAAGTTTGAGGAAAGCCTTGATGGCTTCTCATTCGTATGAGTTGGCAACCAGACTAGCTAGTGGGGGATCTCAGTGTCGGTCAAGTATTTAAGTCGAGATTTGAGTTTTAAGAGAGGAGAGTAACTTCAACTCCCTTAAAGCTTGAGAGTTAAGATTTTAAGATTGGAAGTACAAACAACTTCCACTAGTCAAAGTTAAGTGTTTAAGTAAAGTACTCAAGTATTAGAGGTATTAAAACGTAAGGGCGTAGACTGACCCCCAACTCACTCACCAGTTTGAAGAGGAAGAAGCTAGAGGAGCAGTTAGAGAGCAGCGGGATCGAGAGAAACAGTTCGAGTGAAGCTAGCTAGAGGAGGACGGTACGAGCGTCACAGAGGATGTCTAGCCAGAGTTTTTCACACAAGCCGCAACACCTGAGACTAGTTAGTTATTATGTTTTATGTTTATTAGTATAGACCGGAGATCAAGTTGAGTTTTTAAAGTTTGAGTTTAATTTGCCCACATGTTAGGGCTTTGCTTTGAACTACAAGTGTGTGTTTTCAGTATTTTATTTATTAAAATTTTTCCCAGTTGCAATTTAAGATTTGAGTATTTTATTTATCAAGGGCATTTTAGTAAAAGTAGTACCCGGTCGGGTTAGGGTGTTTCACCCCATTCCAAGAGAGTCTCAATTGGGTTGGTATCCCTAGGGCTTTTTTAAGTCTTCGAACTAGGTTAAGTTAGGGCAAACCTTAATATTGGATTAAGCAATTTGGTTAAGCACAATTAAGCCGACCAACCCTTGGGTTGAGATAGGGAGTAAGTCAACCATTGATTGCCTAGACCGGGAGGGCCTAGTGACAGCCTATAATGCATGCCTCGTTTTAGCAATCATGAGCGTGGTCTACGACCATATATGCGTTCCTTAGTGGTTAGCGATTGCCTCGCCCATAGCGATCATTCCGGTTCAAATACCATGGTAGTAGTTAGGGGGAAGCGACACCCGAGTGATCTTGCCACAAAGAGTTTTCAAAACCAATTACCTTTCCCTTATTTTATTTTAGTTAGCAACCTTTTAAACATACTTATCATATATTGCACCTTACTAAGGTTTATACTTGGACCTTAGATGAGAGTTTATTGTGGTATTCAGGACGAGTCACATATTTATTTTTTTTCTACCAAAGAAAAAATCAAGGCACGTTGGAAATAAGGTGGTTACTTTAAAAGGTAGGCCAAACAGTTAGAGAAAAGATGCGAAGTAATTATATATTGCATTCAACCAAAATGAAGACGAATTATTACTCACTACTTATTACCATTAAATGTTGCACAAAATTACATTACATTACATGCGCGCGCGAGTGTTTTTCTTATTTTGTTATTGTTGGTGTTGTATTTCTTTTCTTTGTATGGGGATGGGATTAGGTGCTAACTTTTATAGGGGTTAGCACCTTGATAACTAGCAAAAAACGCTATTAAAAATAACGAAATCACTACGTATTATTATAAAATCAATACAACATCTAAGCTAAACCACTACTAATTCAAATTAATAGTAGTTTTTCCCTTGATTAGGACGGTGCTAACTATTGTACAATTAGCACCATAGCCGTTCCCGTGGTCTCTACGCGCATTGATAGATTAATGTCATAATGTGTACCATAATTTTGCCAAAATCAAAGTTTTTAAAACTTGTGCAACTTCCCAATCTTTCTTTCTCTCTCTCTCTTTCTGGCTTCAGGTTGGGGTTAAATGGGCCAGAATAATCCACCATCTTCTCTTGTCGACCTGTAATTCTCTCTCTGCCTCCTCCTCCTCCTCCTCTCTCTCTCTCTCTATGTCTATAAATAACATTGTCCTCTACCGGCGCACAAAAATGTATCAGTTGTGAAAACGATCGAAAAAAAAGCTAAGCCCCCTCATATATATATATAAAACAGAATCCCTCCATTTCCTCCCTCATCCTCTCTCTCTCTCTCTCTCTCCACTTCTTTTGGTGAATTACTGCTCCGTGAAGCAAGGCAGTCGGATGGCGGCGACGGCATTATCAGTAGTATTAGTGGCGACGCTGGTGATGGCGGCGGTGGAGTTCCGTCCTTGCTGGTCGCAGAACATCACCAGAGCCAGCTTCCCAAAGGGCTTCGTCTTCGGAACTGCCTCCTCTGCGTTCCAGGTATACATATAGATTCCTCCAAATTAATCTCTGTGTTTTCCTTTTCCCCCGGCCCATTGATTCTCAATTAATTGGATTCTTGGCTTTAAACTCAAGCAATGGGAGGATTGATGAAAGAATGCGTAGGCGTAGCGTAGGTGTAAGAGAAAACAAAAGCGTATATACTATATAGTCACCCGTGAATCTTCTGTTTGTATTGAATGTGGATGTTTTCTTCTTCTTGGGTTTATATTTGCACCGTCGTTTTCTGAGTATGTTAGTGGTATTTACGTTGATGGATGTGGTTTTTTTGTTCTCCTCTCTTCTTTGATTGTGGCTGTGGGGTTTTCTTTTGGTGAGTATAGGGAAGTGGACGTTCGCTGGTCTGGTAGTTTTTGCCTTTATTTATCCTCTTCTCTTTGGGGTGCAATAGAAATTAAATGGGGAGTAATTACTAGTAATATTGGTCATGACCCTTAGCAAGTTATATTATAATAATAATAGTAATTATTATTATAATTATAATTATTATTATCTTTATGTGCATGAATTAATGAGTCTAAGATGGTCCATGAAACCGAAAGGAGGCCGAAGTGAGTGTGCACGGCCGGCCCTATCACCATCTAATTAATGTTATTTCTACTTGTATGCAAAAAATTCGAGTATGCATATATTTATTTGAATGAATTTTCAGAATAAGTTAACAATTTCGATATGTTGAGTTTGAATCAAGATTTATTCACCTTATTTAGCTTGCCAACCGATTGAACTGCTTATTTGCGCCCTGCTTCCGAAGAAAATAAGGAAGGAAAATGAAAATTAATTGTCGAAACTGGATATTTTTAGAAAACTTTCCCTTCTTGAAAGCTACTCAGAGAAAGAAAAGGAAGAGGATAAAAATACTTTATAATCAGATCCAAATTGAAAGGAAAACACATTCTATTTCTCATCACACCCTACCCTTTTTTCTTCTTCCTTCATTTCTTTACCTTGTGCACTGTTTCTCTCTAACTTGAATTTTTTTGGATAACTCTTTTTATATTTACATATTAGAGGAACTACGCATGGAGAAAATTTCATTTTAATTATATAAAAATTATGTTACAATTTTTTCCACAAAAATAATAATTTTGGAAATTATATAGAAGATAAACTATTGTACATCCAAATAAATTATAAATTGACTTTACTCGATCCTAAGGTATGAACTCAAGTATTCTACCTATTTCTTGCTGTCGTTTTACCATATCTGTGGAGACAAATAAAAAAGTTAGCTGCAGTAATTTTTGTGATAAAAAGAAACGTTAGCTGTTCTGGCGCTGCCCGTTTATTGGGTCCGACTCCAATCCAATTTCGGGGACTTTCCTATCCTATCGGTTGATTCCCTGCCCTGCCCTACCTTGCATGATGGGAGTAATTAATGATAAGAGAATGCATACATTATAATGCCAACTCATTATCTTATTTGGCCCTTTCGATTTTTTGAAGGATTCACACTTGTCATTGTTGACTTAAAGGTTGCTAGCTACTTAATAGTGGAAGACAAGGAATTTAGATTCCGAATAATGATTAATTAATAGTGAGAGGCGCAGGATCATCATTAATTAGGGATGTCATGATGACATTGTTTTCGTAAATCATTTTCATCCCATTTTCAAATACTCAAACCCCATACCCATCGTATATTCATGTGGGGAGAGGTTTTGTAACCTATTATGTACCACATTTTTGGTGTACTGTGAGTGATATCCATCTCTCGTTTCTCAAATATTACAATACCTGTAGAATTTAACATGTAATTCTTAAATTATAGCAGTAAAGGAAACTCATAAATCGTGAGTGAATTGAACAAAGATATGACCATTCTTTATATGAATTCAAGCATACTATTAAAACATTCATTAATCCATTAGATAAAGGAGGGGAAGCTAATATGTGATTTCTGCTGGCACCTAAAATTATAGTCGCCTTATTCCCATCAACCGATTTGTTGGTTTTATCCATATCCAGGTAATGCACGGATTTCCACGTTAACTTGGTCATAAATGATTGATTACACACACTCGCTAGTTTGATTTTCACCCGTATAATTAATCATTAGCGATTCCGCCAAATTAATAATGGATCTTTCATCATCATACCACATTGTCTTCTCCCTCTCTCTCGCTAGTTTTTAGTGTTTACATTTGAAATCTAAACCCAATTGTATTGAATGGGTCCTTTAAAATTGGGGTCACGCATTAATTAGGTAATTATTCTATAGATCACGAATCCAGATTGTTATGTTATCTTCCATTGTCTTCTCTTGTTTATGTATAGACAATTTCTTGTCTTGGAACTTAATTGGTTAACTTCCATGTAACGATGATTATATTTTGGTTTTGGATCCCGGGCGCGCAGTATGAAGGGGCAGTGAAAGCTGACGGGAGGGGACCAAGTATTTGGGACACATACTCTCATACTTTCGGTAATTTTTATACTAACTCTAATAATGAGTTTTAATTTCTCCATTAATTAAGCCCGCTAACGTTTACATATTATATGTGCAGGGAAAATCATAGATTTCAGCAATGCCGATGTAGCAGTGGATCAATACCATCGTTTCAATGTAGGGTAAAATCATAACTAACCATTTTGGTTTTATTCAGTTTTCAGCAGCTCGCTGTGAAAGAAAACTAAAAATGCATTGGCATGTATATATGCAGGAGGATATACAGTTGATGAAAGGCATGGGAATGGATGCCTACAGATTCTCCATCTCCTGGACCCGTATCTTTCCCAGTAGGCCACTCCCCTAATCTCTGCTTAATTAATTACCTTGAGGCATCATTTAATTTGCAGCGTTGATTGATTTATTAGCCAGTGAAGTCATATATACTCTCTATCTAGTACATGTGTTGCCAATAGCCAGAACTGACACGATGGAGGTTTATCCAAAATTGTATTTTGATTAGCGGAGTGCATTATCATCTAATTAATCCAACTTTAAGAATTTATATAATTGTCAAGTTATTAATTAATTAATATTAATTTGTGTCACCTACTCGATCCAATATTGTTGACAGATGGGACGGGTCAGATTAATGAAGCGGGAGTGGAGCATTACAACAAAGTGATAGACGCGTTATTGGGTAACGGGATCCAGCCGTATGTCACTCTCTACCACTGGGACCTTCCTCAGGCCTTGCACGACAAATACACCGGCTGGCTTGATCGCCAAATCATGTAAGTTTAAAGCTACCACTTCTTTACTTGTTTAGTTCGTGATGATATAATTAAACTGGCCGTGCAATTTGTACATAACTTTACTTGGTGCATGTTTCTCTGTCCCTCGCCTTCTAAATACAGACAAGACTTCACGGCGTACGCGGAGACGTGCTTCCAAAAGTTCGGCGACCGAGTGAAGCACTGGATCACATTCAACGAGCCACACACGTTCGCCGTCCAGGGCTACGACGCCGGCCTCCAGGCCCCCGGCCGCTGCTCCGTCGCTCTCCGCCTCTGGTGCAAAGAAGGCAACTCCGCCACCGAGCCGTACATCGTCGCGCACAACACCATCCTCGCCCACGCCTCCGTCGCCTCCGTCTACCGCCGGAAGTACAAGCCCGCCCAGAAGGGAGTCATCGGGCTTTCCTTCGACGTCATATGGTACGAGCCCGGATCCAGCTCGGCCAGCGACGTCGAAGCGGCCCAACGGGCCCAGGATTTCCAGCTGGGCTGGTTTCTGGACCCGTTGGTGTTGGGAGATTACCCGAGCTCGATGAGGATCCGGGTCGGGAACCGCCTGCCAAAGTTCTCGGCTTCTGAAGTTGCTGTGGTGAAAGGGTCGTTGGATTTCGTGGGGATCAATCATTACACCACGTATTATGCCAGCAATAGCTCGTCCGGGATCGTGGACTTCCTGCTGAACGACACTCTTGCGGATTCCGACACCGTTGCCTTTCGTAAGTTAAAGCAATTTAATTATATATATTTCTTTTCTAGCGTCGACTTTTACTTTAAGCTAATAATGTTTTTGATTGGTTCAGCGTTCAAAAATGGGAAAGCTATTGGAGACAGGGTAAGTGCAACCATTACGTAATTACCACAAGGTTAATTAGGTGAAATTAGCTAGGCTCTTAATTTAATCTTTTCTTTTCACTTGCAGGCGAATGCCATATGGTTATACATTGTGCCACAAGGGCTGAGAAGCTTGATGAACTACGTCAAGCAAAGATATGGAAATCCTCCCGTGTACATTACCGAAAACGGTACAAACATTTCCCTATCCTTATAAGACTCTTATGATTATTACAAATTAAAAAAAAAAAATATACTTGTTTTATATAAATGAGTTGAATCCAAAAGAACTCTTTAAAAAGTGAATTACTCATTTCATAGAATCAGTTTATTAGGCTAACAAGTTGGAAAGATAACATAAATTCAAGTTTAAAATATGGTATTCTGATTGTGGATTCTTTCTTTGACTTTCGCGCGATTGGAAATTTTTGTGATAACTAATCAATACTATTGTTTGTCGTGTGTTTGTATGATGGATGCATATTGATAGGTATGGACGATCCAAATAGCTTGTTTAAATCTATCAAAGATGCACAGAAGGACGAGAAAAGAATTAGATACCTCAACGATTACCTCACGAGCTTGCTAGCTTCTATCAAGTAAACACACAAATAAAGCTCTCATAATATTTTCTTTGGTTCTGCTTCATTTGGAGGGAAAGCTAATATGCTGGTTTTGTGTGTTCGTGGTATATGTGTGAAACTTGCAGGGAAGACGGGTGCAATGTAAAAGGGTACTTCGTGTGGTCTTTACTGGACAATTGGGAGTGGTCTGCTGGATACACTTCCAGATTTGGTCTCTACTTTGTGGACTTTAAGGACAACCTTAAGAGATATCCCAAAGATTCTGTGAAGTGGTTCACAAATTTCTTGAGCCACAGTGCTTAGAAGTGGGAGATAAAAAGACCATATGCATCCACTCACCAAAAGAAAAAGCAGAAAGGAAATAAAATTGTTTGTGTGGGCTTGGTGTGTATATATTTACACTCAAATATTGTTATTTAGGGTATTTGTTTAATAAATCTTGTTATATAAAATTAATTGTTTCAAGTAGGGATGGGCAAATGGTGTGGTTCAATCGCACTTCCCCATATTATCAATCGGACCGCACCACACCGCATGTGTCACTGTAATTCCGTTGTGGCGGTCAAACCAAACCGCATAAATACACGGTTAATTTGGTGCGGCTTGAATTGTAGCGCATGTTAATAGTTACGCATGATTGGATTCCTCATTGATGGGTTGCATGGCTCCATTTCTGGATAGAGTAGAAAGTGTTTAACCAAACGTACACTCCAAGGCCATCACAAGCGATTAGCTTAAGCTTCATGACATCGAGAAGGCCATTCAAATGCTTGAGAAATTTCTTGGCTCCATCCTGCTGAATAGTGTAAGTACAAATTTCAACTGTTTGTTCAGTAAATTAGCAAAAGAATTGGCAAATAATAACATAATAACCAAATCAAATCACTTGTTTTTTTTTTACAAAGGGATCACTTATATTGCTCAACTCATAAAAATGGTTACAAAGAAGGGATACAACATGAGAAACCAAATCAAGAAAGAACAACCTCAACATCCAGAGGAACACACCAACCACCGAGGAAAAACCAGAACAAGAGAAAGCCAAGCATGATTCAACTAGACAAGGGCATTCCAATCTTGAGCCGCAAACCAAAACATCTGAATCACTCTTCGCAACCTCATTTATCAGAAAAACTCAAAGGAAAGCTTCAGCTCATCCAATACAGAAATGACCATGATGATTGAACATTGCAACACCATATGCCGCCTCCTGGGAGTTGTTCGAAGACGACCCATCACAGTGAATCACCGAAGAGATTACATGGCGGTGGGCAGGACTATACAGGATTGTTCAGAACTGAAACAAAGAGAGGGAGCCGGCAACGGATGCATCCATCACAAACCAGAGAGCAGGGAACACAAAGGGTTGAACTGCCCACAGAACCACAAGAAAGAAGACCCACCAGACTGAGCCTCACTTGCAGAAACACAAAGCCAAAAAGAGATCCAAGACAAGAACACCAACGAGCAGCACAACCCACACCATCAACAACAACCCACACCCACACTGCAAATCAACCCCAAGGAAGAACTCCGATCTCATAGAAACATGGACCATCCGCCACGACATTCGGAAGAGACACCGCTACCCACACTGACAATTGGCAAAGATGCATAAATCAAGCAAGGAGCACAACGACAGAGGCGGAACGGTGAACATGATCGCCCACGGGGACGACCACACCAAGAATGGGGTAATCTTCAAAACCGATCCGGCAGAAGCACCCCCAAATTGCATCTTCCGTACCCAAAACAGAAGAACAGATCTATAAAACTAGATCCGAACAAGACACAACATCTCCACCAGGGAGGAATGTGGGAGGAACCACTTAGGAACCGAGAGAAAGCCACCTAGGCCAATCGGCCACTAATCTAATCCGCCACCCAAGAGGAGAACTTGCTCCCCAAGGACTAATGTAATTGGCCCTAACCTCACTAACCCAATAACCGAACGAAGCCCAAAATCCATGAGATAACAATAATACGTAATCAAAATAAACAACCAAGCCCACCTATCCAACTCATAACCCTCGTCGGATGTCTCCAGCTAACGAATTTCCATAATTCCGTCCCCCTTTGAATTCAACCTTGTCCCCAAGGTTTGCCATCGACATCCTTCTTTTCATAACTTTCTCCCTCCGTATTCGCGGGAGAGATCTCGCCTGGCGTATTCGCGAGAGACCCTCGTCATAACTTTCTCCCTCCGTCGGTCCGAAGCGCACCCACAACTCCTGCTAAAATAGCTCTCACAAGATGGGCTCTTCCGCGTCCTTGTATGTTCGTTTCAGCCATTGCCACCACTGATTCGCTCCCCCTCCAGGTGGAATGAAGCCAGTGGAACGCGTTGGTCATCTGGTACCTCCTGATATTCGAAAAACTGTTCAACGCATGGAAACCAAGCTTATGGATCCTCCCCTGCGAATCGCGGGAACTCATGACGAGCTAGCTTGCTAAGGAATGTGTCATCGCTGCTGCCTACTCTGGTCCCGCTGGAGTTACCCTTGGACTCATCCCCAGTCAACTCCCCCTCGACTCGCCTCCGCTGCCGCTGCTGCCACCGCTCGTCTTCGCTGCGCCGATATTTCCTTCGGATCCATCATTTGTTGCCGATAAGCTCCGCTCCCCTTCCTTCTCCTTTCTTGTCCTCCTAAGGCCCGTGCACGAAGTCCAAAAGAAAGGGGGAACAGAACTGAGCTTCTCAGTATCAGAATTTACCTCGGCTGGTATTTTTTTTACCTGGTCTTGTCCTTCCTGTCAGGACTGCAAGCAGCTTTTCCCCTTGCGGGGAACAAGGGATATAGATCCTACCCCATACTATGGTTAGGCAGTTTCACAGGCGACGTCTCTGGTTCAAGTCAAGGATGGCCCAGCTGAGCCAAAGGAAAAATAGAAGAGATCCCTGTTCAACTTCAAAAAAGGCAATCAAAGATAAGACCGAAGAGAATGAAACGCATGTAGTATTCTAAACCGTCGGTCAAACATATGATAAACCTTCGGACTCACTATTTCGTTCCTTCGTCCTTCGGGCAATTTGCAATAATTTTTCTCCAGAGCTCCCATCTTCCTTCCACTGTCTGAGAGCTTTACCCACGGGTTCTACTATATTTGGTAGTACGTACCCCCAAGAAAAAATTCTATTGGTATCGTCTCCTTGAAAAGAAGAGCTCTAAACCCCCCTGTTAGCTTAGTTGGTCGTGTCTTGTGCCTTCTCCCTTTGCCCTCTCAATTTCTATATGTGAACCCTCCCCATCTCCTTTCAGTCGAGCAACACATAAACTAAAGTCCTTTTAGATTGAATGCACGCAGAAAGCTTCGAATAATAAGATTGACTAAGACTAGTAGCGATGAAATGAGCCAAGCGCTTCTCTTTATGTACCAATGCAAACAAACCGGTATTCAATCAATGCACACAAATAGGCTTGCCACCAGTAAATAGAGCCTTTTTTAAGGTCCAACACTCCTATGACGGGCTAGGTTTCAACACCATTCACTTGTAAGGCCCCCTCCCATTTTCAGATCTCGGATCAAGTACTGGCTTCGTCTAGCTTGAATGACTTACTTCTTAATATGTGCCTTATACCCTCTATTGGTCGTTGAATTCTCATCGTTATCCTCCTTTCGTTATTTGCGTTGATCTTTGAGTGAAGCTGCTTGCCTTCATGTCATCCAAAGGTGCCTAGAGAACGGGCTAGACGGAGCAGAGCGACGACCCGGGAGCGGATTACCCAGCGACAGGTAGACAGGAGACGTCATGGCATCCTGTCTGGCTAACTCGGTCGGCTCTAGTTTTGTCCCACTTATTTTTTGCTGATGATCTAATCTTATTCAGGGAAGCGACGGTCGAGCAAGTTGTTGTAATATCCAAGTGCTTTGATGAGTTTAGAGCGGCCTCGGGGCAGCAAGTGAGTCGGCCTAAGTCACGTGTCTTGTTCTCAAGTAACGTGACCGCTACCCAGCAGTCTGTAGGGCACTCCTCTTGTTCTTGGTTAGTTTTGAAGGCATTTCTGAGTGAGGCTTCTCTGAGCTAGTGGTATTATAGTCCAACAAGCCGCTCCATATCCAAAAAGTCTTTGATCCTTAGCATCTCGGGTGCCAACAAATTCCTTTGATTTCGCATGATTCGAGCCATCTCTGTTGCACCTCTTCAACGTTACATTCCTCTTTCTCTCTATGTCCCTGATCTGCATGCATCCATACCTGTTCTTCCGACTGACATGAGCGCCTTTTCCCCCCAAATGACTTATCTGATGACTTCCTTTCCTTGGACGCTGAGTGAAGAGGCATGTGCGGTGGATGTCCTATCAATGTAGAGGCCTTAACTGCATGGTCTCGTTCCAATAAGGGGCTAGTACGCTATTACTAGGTAGGCTCTATACGGCACAATAATGAATGTGAATTCACAGGTCAAACAAGATGAACTTGTCGCCAACCCGTGCATGGTTCACCAGGTAACTAATGAACTCGTACTCCTTGTAACATCCCGTTACGGCAAAACCCATATTTCGATCGCTAGAAAGTTTCACGATTTAAAATCGAGCATTTCGACACTATTTTGACGAAAATCGGATTATCGATCGATCGGATAAGTATACGTATCAATTATATATAATATATATATAATTAGTAAAAAGAAAAAGTGAAATTTAAAGTAAAGGAAAGTAAGTAGGCGGTGGGAGCTTATTAAAAGTCCCCTGTCCATTTCTTTTCCCCATCCCCATCCGATATCATATTTTTCCATTTCCGCTACCGAGAGTAGAGCAGCGCGGCGGAGAGTTCAGGGGAGCGACTGGAGAAAAATTCTCCAAGCTCAATTCTTGAGCCCTGGTGATCCAAAAATCCCGTAAGTAATACCTAATTCATCTATGCGTCGTGATGTATCGATTTAGAGCTTTAAAACGAGATTTTGGTTCAGGAATTTCTTGAATTCCCGATAAGCCAAATTAGGGTTTCAGACTATCCGGAAGCCGGATTGAGCCCAAATTTCATATACGAGCTTCCTGCAATGAGGTAATCAATCCTCTAGTTCTAATCCCTGAATTTCGGCTATTATTTAGGCCGGGGTCCAAACCGCTGAATTTAGCTCTGGCCAGGGTTTGATGTGTTTTTATCGAGAATTTGACCCGGAGCCCAGAACTAATATTGACGGGGATACTGCAGGGGATATTAGGACGGTCTCGGATTTTAATTCGGGGTTCGTTCGTGAAATTGACGTTTTAGTACGGGAAGGTTAAACCGGTGTTTGAACGACCAGAACTGGTGAGGGATTAGCACTGCATACCGGGTTTGTCGTATCACGATAATTATATTGATGCTTAGAATTGATCTAGGTGAACTAGAATGGCATGATTAGGGGTGTATGAACTTTTGTGCTATATGTTGAACCCTGGATTGCTGTATGATATTATTGACTTGCCCTAATCGATATGAACCTTGTTTATGCTGATGATTATGTATATGTTGCAAATTGTGGGCTTGACTATTAATATGCTTTACGATGGTTCGAGAAGGTGATTAGGTATGATTTTTCATGATTGTTGTATTTGGATGCACAAGTGGGAAAATATATATTCTCTGGTGATATTATGATGTTTAAGGAGGA